GTGTGTGTGTGTGTGTGTGTGTGTGTGTGTGTGTTTGACAAGCCTTGAGCAAATGCTTAAACCCCTCTGGGGAGACTGGTGACATTTTTCCGGTTTTGTGCTCCATACAAATTACATCCATGGTTTAACCAGAGCAGTGATCCGGGTTTTTAGATGGGATTCAGTGTCACCTCAATCACTGATGACTTTTTTTCCTTGTTTTTATTATTTTTTTTAGTCACTGATATAACTCAATCAAATAAAATGAGAATGAGGTTTTGTTTGTTGAGTGCTTCTACCTTGATTTTCCTTCACAGTTCAGAAACAAACTCACCTCCTTGTTTACTTGTTGTGCACTGCTGGTTGGCCCCCAACTGGTGATTTCCTGAACAAACTCATTTAATTTGAGCGCCGTGCCACAGATTTATGTTTGTGTGAATAATGATGAGCTGGAGAAAGCGAAAAGGAGGGGAGTTGCGTAACCCTGTTTCGAATGCGCCGAGTCCTTCTCCACAACTGATACGGAGCAAACTGTGTGACATGTGTATCTTCCCACTGAATGGGAATTAGATACACACAAAAGCACATCAAAGGATGTGATTGAGGGAGTTCGTTCCAAGGGAGACGAGTGAAAGAAACCCAGCCAGTCATTTCAGATCTGAATTACTTTCATCGTCCGCACACAGACAGCGAGCCATWATAATCATGTTAGCTGGTTTACTTCGTCAAAGGGAATTTTCCTGTTTGTAGAAGAGTTGGAGATGATAAACATATGACCACTGCTTCTCCAATAGATAGGCCGGGGAGCCTACATGCTAAAATGCCTACATGCTAAAACACATGTCAAACTTAAGGCCTGTGGGCCAAATGTGGCCCACCACAACATTTTATGAGGCCCCCGAGAGATTCAAAGCCGTATTGTCTTTAAAATAAGCATATGCTGTTTTAAAGCCAGCATTGGCCATAAACTACATCTCCCATAATGCATGTTGATTATTTTCCAAAACAACAGCATCCCACCTTTAGGTGGTGGTGCACAGGGTTCAAAAGTAACTGGTAGCTGGGATGATTCATACATGTCAACCCCTTTGGATGTTTACCTGTCTGATGAGCCGCAAAAATCTATCATTTT